GGTGCCTTCCCTGTATGAGGCATGCAGGGAGTACTTGAGGGAGGAGCTGCACAAGGCAGGTCCACAGTTTGGACATCTGGAGCAGCCAGGGTGGAGATCACGCCTACCTCTCCCTCACAGGGCACTGGTAGGATCAGTGCTAGCACCACCAGCAGACTCATTTCCAAATGCAGGAAGGTTGCTACCTACTTCCATCGGAGAATCAAGGCGGGCAAGATGCTGCGGGAGAAACAGGCAGAGCTGAACATCCCACAGCACAAAATCATGCAGGATGTGGAGACTCAGTGAAATTCCACATACCTCATGCTCGAGAAGCTGGTGGAGCAACAGAAGGCCATCCATGAGATGGCCTTGCTCGGGGAGATTGGAATCAGCGACCCCCTTAATAGAGCTGAGTGGGATACCGTCTCCCAGATCTTGGTGGTCCTCAAGCCCTTTCTCAAGGCCACCGAGACCCTCGGCACTGCCGATGCCCTTCTTAGCCAGGTGATCTCTGTAGTGAGGGAACTTCAGAGCCAAATGGAGAGCTTCCAGGGGATCAATGTTTCTGGCTGGGGCAAGCTGCTGTCACCAGACAGCCAAGCACTAGTGAGGTGGCTGAAGGACGGTATTAGGAAATGGCTTGATCCCTTGCGGTCCCGTATGGTCCACATGCTGGCCGCCATTTGTGACCTGAGAGTGAAGGGCAACGTATGCAGCAGCCAAACCCTGAATCAGTAGATGGAAGTGTTGGTGAAGGGAGTCAGGGAGGCAGAACGGCAGAGGTGGGGGGACGTGGAAGAGGGGGATCCACTGTCCTGTGCTAGCATGCCATCCACCAGGCAATCTCCTCCTTCACCACAGGTGCTGCCAATGTGGGCCCAGGGCATGGCTTCCATGGTGAGGTGCAGAACTACCAGACGCCACCATCAGGCAGGTAGCATTCAAGCCTTGATGACTGCCTATCTCACTGAGGATGTGGAGCCTCTGCTGTGTGACCCCTTGCCCTACTGGGCAAACTGCAGGCAGATCTGGCTGGATCTGGCCACAGTTGCCTGGGAGTGTTTCGAGTGAGAGGGTGTTCATCATTGCTGGGGATATAGTGATACCATACTGCACCTGCTTGGATCCTGGTTTGGAGCAGCTGGTGTTCCTCAAGGTGAACTTCCCACTGCTGGGGTTCCCCTAGCTTCAGGTGCAGATGGAGTGAATGCCACCCTCCTCACTGCATCTGCACCTATTTCCTTTTTTTAAACCATTTAATGCCCCGCTTTCAGAGCTGGAGGGGGGGCACTTACTGCATCACCAGCCAGCAAGAGAAGAACATGTCCCTACTGAGCTTCTGTGACAGGATGAACTTAGAGGTATGGGCTGGGACTATGGAGAAGGAGGAGACACCAGGTCCTGGGCATGACCACTAAAACTGCACTCTGCCAGGGTCGGGAGGCTTGGTGGGACTGCTGGCGATGCAGCAGCCCCAGGGAATGCCAGGACTGAGGATCCCCCTGGTGAAAGGTGGGTAGGAGGTACCATAACCTACAGCCACCCCACACACGCACACAGTTCTGGCTGAGGAAAACCCAGACCCGTCACGTCTTGGACAGGCCTGAGGTGTGCTGGTTTGCAGTGGAGTTGTGAGGCTTCAGGTGAGCTCAACTTATCTGCCTGGGATGCTAGCTTTGGGGCTGAAAAACCCTTTGTCAGGCTGTGCATGCGAGCCTCTGGCTTCTTTACTATTCCTTCCATTCAGGAGCAGCACACACACAAACTGCAGGTGCTTCCTCAGCCTGACAAAGGGTTTTCCAATCCAAAACCTTGCTAAGATATATTTCTCTAACTGTTCATTTGGTCTACTAAAAGATACCAGATTGAGCCAAAGAACCTTGTCTGCCAGTGCCATGTCCTTAGCCCAACATCCCTAGCACCTGTCCCCAGTCAGCTGACCAGAAGGACGCAGGGCCCGGGGCACATATAAGCCCCAGGGCTGGGGCTGGCAGGGAGAGTTCTCTGGCAGCTGCTGGAGAAGAAGCTTCTGCAGGAGAGGAAAGAAAGGCTGTGTCAGTTTGGCTGCCTGAGATGCTGCTGCTCACTAAGTCGTTATTTTACCTGTTGCCATTTAAGCAGTGGACCAGTTTGAGGCTGTAGTGGGGGAGGAGACCTTATTGGAGCACGCTGCCATGTCATGCAGAGGGCCCAGCGCCAGTGAGGGCACACCTTAACACACACAAAGTCACACGTGACACGAGTTTTGCTTGTCAGCAGCTTGAGGTACAGTTTCCCATAAACCCCTGCACCTATCTCCTCGAAAGGTGGTGGGTTTCATGGCCTCAGCAGGGGCTACCATGCCTGCAGTTTTCACCCTGCTGTGCCATCACAATTGCAAGTAACATGAGTTTTGCTTTCAAGACTTTGAGGTGCAGTTTTCCAGAAACCCCTGTACATATTTTCTTGAAACTTGGCAGGCGTCATGGTCTCAGAAGGGTCTACCATCCCTGCATGTTTCATCTGAATCAGGTAAGAAATGACAAAGGTATAGGCAGTTTTGTGCTTCCCCATTATAGCCTATGGGCAAAACGTCCAAACAGCATCGAAACAGTTTCAATGAAACAAAGTGGAACAGTGCTTCTGAAACAAAACGAAAAACTGTCCCTTCAAAACAGCGAAACGGAAGTCGAAACGAAATGGTGCTGTTTTGCACAGCCCTACTCTCCAGCCTGTTATATTTTATTTGCTTTATAACATACTGTTTTCTCTATTATTGAAAGTGTTATCTGATTCCATTACTCATTGCTGTGGATGTTCTATATTTTGACAGATTGCACTATATATTTGGCACAAAGGCAATGGACCACATCTTACTACAGTGCCTGAGTTTTGTACAGATAATGTGGACTCATTTAAGGCAGGTCATTGTGCCACAATGTTCAATATTTTCCTACCACTTTGTGTAAGTACCATATTTTAAATTGCATTTATGTCCTAGAGAGAAAATTATTATTACAAAGGCTGAAACATGACTTACAAAGTCTGAAAGATCTAGAGAGAATATTTCTAACCAAATAAGGAGAAGAAAAAAATAATTTAGTATAGCCTTATCTTGTACTCAGAATCTTCTGTTTACATATGTTATTTCCTGTTAGATGTGATCTTAGGTACTTGGATGATGTCCATTACCATAATACTTGAAGATTCCATGATTTTTAATGTACTTTTCTTCAGAGTGCTCCTATAAAGCAAGGAAATACAACTAATCCCATTATACAGATGGGGAACTGATGCGCATGGGTGCGCAGTTACTTGTCCAGGATTATGTAGGAAGTCTTGATACAGCCCATTCTTCCAGTTCTCAGAGTAGTGCCCTGAGATCTTTTTAATCCATTGAATCGACAAGCTCCCCTTATGCACCCTTAAAATATGAATTCAAAATGCAAGGTGCAGTAAGATTATTACCTATCTCCGTGTAATTTAACTGGAAACTGTTGGATAAAAGTAATACATGCACCGTCTATTTCTGTTTTTGTGACCTTTATCTATAAATTTGAAATGGCAGCAGTGCCGTTAGGTAGGGGTGCACCAATGGAGATTTTTGGAGCTGATAACGATAGCTGATATTTAAGGAGGCATATCGGCCAATACTGATCCGATTTCTGATCCAGCTGCCTCCAGCTGGTAGGTCCGGTGTGGTGGAAGGGGTTGGGGGAGGGAAGAAGCTGTCAAGGGAAGTTGTGGAATCTTGGATAGGCTTCTCTTTGGGATGGTTACAAATGCTGCAACTGTGCAGGGATTTAGGGGGAAAATAACCCTGGAGGTCCCTTACTAATCTGTGATAAATAAAATATTAAAATATTGAAAACCCCAAAGCACTTAAAACAAAATACTATATTGAATGTTAAATGTTTGAAAGCAATAGACTTATACAGTCAGCTTTCTGGTAAAGGAGTATCTTTTTAATAACTGTGCATGATCGATCCATTGTTCTGTTCTCAATCCTTTTCTGCCACTTAACCACTATAGCCATTTATTTTTTTATTTGTGTAATTTAGTTTTTTATTTGTAGGGTCAGGGCTTGTGCAAAGTTGCTTTCATTTTCTCTTTTATTGCCAAACCATAGATATGCATGTAACGTAGTTAAAAGCAGTGCCTTCAATCGTAGTGTTCATTTTTATTTTTTAATGAATTTCCTGGTAGGGTGATCCAGTGAAGGAGGAGGATGTATTTGTTGCGGTAAAAACTTGTCAGAAATTTCATGGAGACAGAAGTAAGTTATTTTATTCAAGTTAGCAGGTTTATGTAATATAGCTTATGGATGACTTTAATAGCTTAATAAAAACTAATATACTATGATAATTGTTATGCCTACGTGTTATAAATTAATGTTGTCAATTCTTTGTGGAAATCTGAAAACCAAATCATTCTATTTTTCAGAATTGAAATGACATAGTTTTTAGTTACATAGATAA